CGTGGTCGACTTGAACTCGAGGCTCGCGCCCGCGAAGAACAACGTCAGTCATCAAGCCAGGGACAAGCCAATCCTTCTCGCCTCTACGGTCAACCTCAGTAAAGCGTTTTCCCACTGAACTTCGACAACAATATGCTCTTGTTACCCTGTTATTTCATTTCTATTTCTTTTTTCTTTTTTTCTTTTTTTGTCTTTATCTCCCCACTATGTGAATGTATTTCGTTATGCACTGTGTTATATCTATTTATAAATAAATATAAATCAAGATTTCTGTCAGTATTTCTGTACCGTCTAATATCCTAGTATACGAACCTCAGAATAATTACAATAATAATCATTACTTATAACTATTATTATTATAATGAATTACAAAAATAATTCCATGTGGCGTTACGTGTCAACTATACTGCACCTATGATATATATTTCTTCAATATATCAGACCACAATATATATTTTACCAGCTGCCTTTATCAATCTATCGACTTTAATCCTTGATTCGATCCACCTTTTCAGTAGATTAACAATGATTAGATGCCTTATTCTGAGCAAAAAACCCTTTTCTGCTTTCACATGAACTAAGTATCTATAAGGATATCAAAACTTCGTTAACGAATTATTTGGGCGTGTGTAAAACAAAGTATGTTATGTTGCCAAATTGTGATAAAAAATAGATGGTAAAATATAGTAATGATTATGATTACTCTTGTCTATTTATGCTAGTTTTCCTGAACATTACCATAGCCAGTGCGGATCATATTTTAAGGAGTTTTAGATAGGATAGGATGAGCATGCGATAATACAGCTTATATGTATGTGAATAAATTTATTTATTTATGTGTGCGTGAGAGAGAGAAAGATCGCTTAGGGAACACATTATATTTACTTTGAAACGGCCACACCAGTCTCAACTTAAACACAGCTGCTACAATGTGCTTTATTAGAAATACGTAAAATAAACTCTAGGGTGAACTATGTTAAGATCGTCGTCTCTGTAATAAGACTTTCCTCCCCGGTGGGGAATCGAACCCCGGTCTCCCGCGTGACAGGCGGGGATACTAACCACTATACTACCGAGGAATGCAAACATTAATGAGTAAAATTAGAAATACATCCAGCTATTTTTAATTGATATCTAAGTCTTTTCACACACCTTACTAATTATGTCATTCTTCACCATGTTCATGCCATCTGTTTACTTTTTTTTACTTTGTTTTTATTTTCGAATAAGCAAACATAGATCATTCGACTCTTAAAATTCTAAATGATAAGCAATGAAATAAATTTAAACTTTCACTGTGATGCCTATTTATTCAAATTTTCATTTAGATGTTCAATTTATACCAGAAACTTTAAATTAGAAAAGCCTGAATAAGGTTTTTTTAAATACAAATTGTATCATACATATATACGTATATGTGTGTGCGTGCTGCATAATCTATTTATATGTGTGTGTGTGTGTAGTTCTATACATTGCCGAAAAAAAATATATGTTTATATTAAACATATATATAAAAAGATAGATATCCTTTATATCATTGCTACACATATATGTGTACAAATATATCCATATCTACACATACACATAGAGTATATAAAACAGGTGTTTAAAAAGGGGAATGTGAATTTTACGTCTTATCGCGACCTACAGTTATAAGGCAGCAGGCTTGCGAACCAGCATCACTTCTTGCAGTCCGCTCTAGAAGTATATTAATACTATCAACATGAAAAGAGTATGTCCGTTTCTTAACACGTTGGTTCCATTATCAAGTGCCAGTGTTAGTAGTATAACAGTGGTAAGATCAATTATATTTACTCACATATGTGAACGTTCCAGCTGGTTCTGTCCTTACTGGTGGCTGTGGCTGTGGCCGAGAGACCGTCCCTCTCCTACGACGCCACTGCATCCCGCCCATCCTCACCCGTACAGCAGATCCCCATCATCCGCGACGAGCGAGTCCATCCTGCCGCTGACGGAACTTACAGCTTTGACGTTGAGACTGGGGATGGCATCGCCAGGCACGAATCTAGCGGTCCAGGTGGTGTTCAACAGGGAACCGTAAGGTTAGCTTGTTCTCCCTTCACAGTTTTACACTTATGCAGAGAGGTGTCTATACCTGTGTCGTGTGCACAGGACCTTAAAACGACAATAAACTTTAAAAGTAATGTCGTGCATGTACAAACTTATATACACACGCCCCATATATTTAATATGTATGTACGTATGTGTATGCATATATGACAAACTACGGTTTCCTTTCAGCTTCACCTTCCCAGATGGCCAAGTCTTCAATCTCCAGTTCGTCGCTGATGTTAACGGTTGCCAACCTCAGTCGCCCTTCCTGCCCGTCGTCCCTGCATTCCCCCACCCAGTCCCCGCCCACGCCCTCGAGCAGATCGAACGTGGTCGACTCGAACTTGAAGCTCGCGCCCGTGAAGAGCAACGTCAGTCCTCAAGCCAGGGACAAACCGCACCTGCTCGCCACTACGGCCAACCTTAGCAGTGTTCTCCCACTTGTATTTCAACATTATGCCCTTCGTATCCTATAATCTTATTCTAATCTCATTCTCTTCATCGGTCTTCTGTATGAACGCCGTATAACGTTTTGATATATCTATTTGTAAATGAATATGTATCTAGATTGACAGTACTTTCTCAACGACCTATAAAACTAAAGGATTTAATATTTTAGTGAGACTAGGAAATAAAATCCCGGTTTTCCACTTTTTACATTTAGTTTTGCTTGGTGTCGTATACTATATGTTATATCGATATGATAAGCCACGTTACAAAGTTAACTAATTTGAATATTCTATGATTATAGAGTAATTATCGATATAAGACTAACCTGAGGAAGACCTCAAACCATTAAAACACATAAAAAAGTACAGTTTTAAACATTCAAACTCTAAATATTTAAGCTCTATTGCTTATAGTACTATTTATCTAGGAGATTACTTTTCCTATTATTTTCTTTAATATTGGATGTTTTTGCACGGGTACAGATATTTGTAAATAAATGTCTTTATTCCTCATGTTTTTTTGTTTTTTTTACTCAAACCTAAAAAAGAAGAATAAAAAAAATGAGTGAAAGGGAGGTTTAAGCGACCTAGATCCCGTGTGTCCAAATGTCTAGCGCCTCACGCATATCTGAAATACATGTGATAAACACTATGGTAAACAGCATTCAGATCGTCATCTTAGTGGTAATTTCTTCCTACTAATACACTGTACTATCGAAGAATGAGATAACATGAGATAATTTCAATCATAAAACACGATGATATAATATACAAAAGAGCAAGAGAGCCATGGACGCATTTGGCTTAAGGCTAAGCCTTGTTTTCCTTTGGAACTTCGAAGGCTGGCACTTGCTCTCTTACGCTCCATTTACATATATACATCAATAGATATATGTGATGTGTATATATATATATATGTGTGTGTGTGTGTGTGTGTGTGTGTGTGTATGTGCGTGTGCGTGTGTGTGCACACATACATACACACACACATATATAAGCGTGTATGCGTATATATATACATATATATATATATATATATATATATATATATATATATATATATATGCATATATGTGTGTGTATACATATATATACATATATATGTATATATGTGTATATATATATATATATATATATATATATATATATATATATATGTATATACATATATATGTATATATATGTGTATATATATACATGTATATACATATACACATTTATATATATATATACATGTACATATATTTATCTATCTGTATATATATATATATACACACACACACACATATATATATACAGATATATATATATATATATATATATATATATATATATATATATATATATATATATAGATGTGTGTGTGTACGTTATATAGAGAGATAAATAAATATAGATATATGTATATATCATATTTATATACATATGCATATACACGCACACACACACATATGTGTGTGTCTGTGTGTGTGTGTGCATATATATATATTCATTCATGAATAAATATATACTCATATATATAAATACACACACACAAATACATATAAATACACATACATATATATACACATATATATACATGTATATATATATATATATATATATATATATATATATATATATATATTCATATACATATACATAAACATGAATATGTATACATTTTATTTATGCACATGCATATGTATGCATATATATATATATATATATATATATATATATATATATATATATATATATATATATACACACATATATATGTATACATATATATGCACATATATATACATATATGTGTGTACATATACATATATATATATATATATATATATATATATATATATATATATATATATATATGTATATATATATATATATACACACACATATATATATATATGATATATATATATATATATATGTATACATATGTATATGTATACATATATACACATACATATAGATGAATAAATAGATATATATACTCATATATATATATATATATATATATATATATATATATATATATATATTAGATATATATTTATTTCTTTATATGTGTATATGTGTGTGTATGTATATGTATGTATATATATTACATATATGTGTGTGTATGTACATATATATACGTATGTATAGATATTCATACATATATACACATGTATATATATGTACATATATAGGTATACGTATATGTGTGTGCACACATATAGAAAGAATGTATTTTTGTATATGCATATATAGTGAATTATTTACTCTCAGAGAAAATTTAATCAGAGAAACTTTGGCCCCGAAAATATTCCCGAGATAATCATAACCTGTCCGATTCACTGATTTTAATTGGCAGATTTCTTGTTCCTTTGTTTTTGATATTCACAAAGAAGATCGGTCAGTTTGTGAAAATCAATTCAAAACGGAAGGCAAGTGTCACTTACTTGCCTTACCCGTACAAAACACTATATGCTTTAACACTTATAATAAACGCTTGCATAACACATACAAAGTAATTTGTTCTATCTTGATAGACAAAATCTCCTCTTAAGCCTTTTAGAGGTCGTTGTGCAGAGGAATTAATAAACAGCTTACTATTTCATATTTCGGTACCTTTTCTAATATCTCAAGATCAGATGACTGTTATTTATTTTTTCACTACAAGCTATATAATATATCTGTGTATGTTCGAGCGTATTTCATATATATATACATTTATACATATTTATATATACATACATACATATATAATATTACATTTTCCTGGCAAGTACTGGAAATAATAACCATTTTAGTACCGAAAACTTACACACATATATACATATGTATATTCATATATATATATATATATATATATATATATATATATATATATATATATATTCATGTTTATATGAACATTCATGTGATGATAAATTACTAAAAAAAAAAGAAAAAAAAAGAAAGCTTTCTATCAATTGCTACATACAGACACATGTACATGCATAAATGTGTGCGTATATGTACACACGCACACATCTATATACATATATATGTGTGTTTCTGCATGTGTACCTGAGTACATGAACATACGTATACGCATATAAATATATAATTAGTGCTTCAAAAGGTAAATGTAAACGTTACGTCTTATCGCGACCTACATTTCTTCTCTGTGGGGTATAAAAAGGTAGCAGGCTTGCGAACCACCATCACTTCTTGCAGTCTTCACTACAAGTATATCAATAATATCAACATGAAGACAGTAAGCGTTTCTTAGCATTCTGAATCCTTGTCAAGTGTCATAATGTGCTAGTAAGTAGTAGTATAATAGGAAAATCATTATTCACTCAAATATATTAACGTTCCAGCTGCTCCTGTCCTTGCTGGTGGTTGTGGCTGTGGCCGAGAGACCGTCCCTCTCCTACGATGCCTCTGCGCCCCGCACATCGGCACCCGTTCAGCAGATCCCCATCATCCGCAACGAGCGAGTCCATCCTGCCGCTGACGGAACTTACAGCTTTGACGTTGAGACTGGGGATGGCATCGTCAGGCATGAGTCTGGCGGTCCAGGTGGTGCTCAACAGGGAACCGTCAGGTTAGTTCATTCACTCTTCACATTTTTACACTTAAACAAAAAAGTGCGTATACCTGTTTCAGGTGAACAGGGCATTTAAACGACAATGAGAGTAAAAGTGTTTGTCGTGCATATTGCATCATACATTCACACACATGCACATATATGTGTTTGTATATGCACGTATATACATAAGTGCTTATATCAAATTATGGTTTCTTTTCAGCTTCACCTTCCCAGACGGCCAAGTTTTCGACCTCCAGTTCGTCGCTGATGTTAACGGTTACCAACCTCAGTCGCCCTTCCTGCCCGTCGCCCCTGCATTCCCCCACCCAATTCCCGCCCACGCCCTCGAACAGATCGAACGTGGTCGACTTGAACTCGAGGCTCGCGCCCGCGAAGAACAACATCAGTCATCAAGTCATGGACAGGCCAACCCTTCTCGCCTCTACGGTCAACCTCAGTAAAGTGTTTTCTCACTGAACGCCAATATTTACTCTTATCCTACTCCAATCTATGTTTTCTCATCGCCCCAATATGTGAATTCCGTTAAGCGTTTTACCATGCATTTAGTGTTATACCTGTTTATAAATAAAAGTAAACCAAATTTATGATTGTAATTCTAAACAGTTTGGCATCCTAATAGACAGATCTTCAAAAAAGATCTACTTTCCAAATTGGCTTTGCGTGTCAAAGTGTAAAGTATACTACCAACCGAACCAACCTGCAAAGTATACTACCAACCGAACCAACCTGCCAAATCTTAGCCATCTATAAATGTTATTGTTATTAGATATATGGACAACCAAATTTTACAGAATCATTAGATACACATGAGAGTGGATATAGAACATCTTTCATATACTTTTAAAATATATAAAAAACCGGCATACCTGAAGCTATTCATTTTTTTTTTCCTTGATGAGACCCACATGCTCATTAGATAATTAGATTAATCTCAGGCAAATGGTGTACTAAGTTATCTTTTTTACAGTTTACCATAACCAGTGCACATCGAACTATAAGGTTGTTTTAGATATGATAAAGTTTTTATGGCATCACGTGTAAAACAAATATTTGCTTGGAAACAACCACTAATCTCAACTTAAATACATCAAGTGTCGCCTTATGCATTCCTTTAAAATACGTGATATAAACTATTGTGAACAATGCTAAGGCCGTCGACTTAATAGTATTTTATCTCCCCGGCGGGGAATCGAACCCCAGTCTCCCGCGTGACAGGCGGGGATACTAACCACTATACTACCGAGGAATACGTTGTGATGAGTTTGATATTAGAATTAAAGTGGGATACATGTAATTGATGTTTAAATGCCTTTTCGGAAACCTTTTAATCAGAAACCTTACCAATTTCGTCATTCCGACCGGTGATCGTGCCATCTGCCTACTTCATCTGTTCGTACTTAGACA